GAAAGTCTCGTTTCTTATTGTGTCTTTTGGGACAGGTCAGTGTCACCTGCATAACAGTGTCTCAGCATAACAGAGAAAGGGTTAAGGTCACTTATCTCATTTTGAAGTAGTGAAATCAGTGGCTCTGAAACTTTTCCTCCAAGACCCATAGGAACAAGTGCATCTTACTTCATGATCCTGTGTGTGTGTGTATGTGTGTGTGTGTGTTCAGAATATATGTATCTACATACATTCTTAAACTAAATGTTTCTTTTTTTAATGTTTTATTTATTTCTGAGAGAGAGAGAGAGACAGCATGAGCAGGGGAGGGTCAGAGAGAGAGGGAGATACAGAATCTTAAGCAGGCTCCAGGCTCTGAGCTAGCTGTCAGCACAGAGCCCGACATGGGGCTTGAACCCATGAACCGCGAGATCATGATCTGAGCCGAAGTCAGATGCTTAACCGACTGAGCCACCAAAGCGCCCTCAGAAACTAAACATTTCTAAAACAGCATCTCCACTGGCAAAATACAACACACTCTAATACTTTCTCTTCAGTGCCATGTGCTTTTAAAACCTCTGGTTGTAATCTATTAAATTGACTTCACAACCCACCAATAGGTCATGGCCCTCAGTTTGAAAAACATGAATTGCAACCACCAAAAGGCAGGACACTGAGAAAGCATTGGCCAACGGGCTAACCCGAGTCCTGTCCTTGGAGAAGCATGGGAGGTGGTGGGAGAGGAAGTGCCTGGTCCTGAAGTCAGATTTGTTGCCCTTCAATGGCATTGGGCAAATGCCATGTCCTCCCTTTCTGTTCCCTGTCTGGCACTCAGGGCCCTCCTAACTGCCTCCTGGAAGCCCCCTTGATGACCAGCAATGGCATCAAACCTCTCTACCTCTCCACATCTATGTCACTCCTCCCACTATTACAGCACCATTGTCCCTGTTTGTCACCCACCACTGAGGAAGGCAGGGATGTGTTTTTTTCCATCCTTACATCCTCAGTGCTTGCAGTGACCCTGGCCTACAGGTACTCAATGAATGTTGGCTGAATAAATGAGTAGGTGAATAAGTAAATGGGAAGTTATAGCATCAGGGTCCTGCTGAGGTGGGGTGAGTTCCAGAGGTTTCCGGCCCAAATGCCCTTAGGGGCCAGGCAGGTAACAGTAGCACAGAGAGCAGACCATGTGGGAGGCAATCGACATCTCATCTGTGACACCCCTCAGAAGGCTGTTGCCTGTGCGCATACTGCTTTCCTGTGGCTGCTGTAACGAATCACAGCAAACTTAATGGCTTGAAACAACAGAAATGTATTCTCTGAGTTCTGGAGGCCAGATGTCCGAACTGAGTCTTCAAGGGCTAAAATCAGGATGTTGGCAGGGCTGGGATTCTCTAGGGTTTCCTCTAAAGAATCCAGGGTAGAGCTGTTCTTTTCATCTCCTAGCCTCCTGTGGCTGCTGATGTTCCTTGGCTTGTGACTGCACCCCTCTAATGTCTGGCCCTGTGGTCACATGGCCTTCTTTTCTTCTGTGTCTAATCGCCCTTAGTTTACCCCTTATGATGACCCTTGTGATTATAGCTAGGGGCCAGTCAGATTATCCAGAATAATCTCCCCATCTCAGCATCTTTAATCATTTCTTCAGTTTTTTTGCCACATAAGGTCACATTCCCAGGTTCCGGTTTTAGAATGGGGGTATCTGTGAAGATCATTCTATGGCCTGTGATGGTTTGGCAGAGTTGGAGGGTGGTTGGAGCTAAGAGGAACCCCATTTTCTCTGGCCCCATCATGTTATTGTAGACACAGGCAAGTGAAGACGGTCGAGAGGAAGATGCATGTCCATGGTCATTTGCTGGTTAGGAGCAAAGCCAGGATAGCATTTTGGGTATTTGCCACTTTCATAACAGCTGTTGCTCTGAAGTAGCCTGTGGTTCTGATATATATATATATATATATATATATATATATATATATTTTTTTTTTTTTTTTTTTTTAGTATATACTCTGCAGTGGTATCTAAAATGCCAGAAAAAGATCCAGCACTCGTATTTTCCACCCTGAAAGTCAGACATGTTGTCGGTTATTTAGGGACTTTTGGAGTTGAACTAATACATGAAAAGCTGGTGTAACTTTCCACAGAGGTGGTGCATCCTTAAAGTCTTGAGGATTTTTAAAGCCCTCGTGAGCTGCCGGGGACACCTTAAAATAAATGTAGGTACTACTCTCTCTTAATCCCATTAATTATTCATGTCTTACTTCCCATTCAAACTACTCATATCCCAAGTACTCCATACATTTTTTTGTTCCTGGTTGTAATCATGCAGTTCAATAAATCCAAAGAAGGTGACAGCCCCTCTGTTCAGAGGTCCAATCCCTTCAGTTCTGCATAGGGAGGGATTAGGAGATTTAACCTTTTCCTTCTAAATTGAACTCATGTCAGAAAGACAATATAAGAGCTAACTCAGGAAAAAGCAACAGGGAAGATGTGATGGATTGGTCAGTCCCATGGGACACCCAGCCCAGTGTGTCCCCGGATATTTGTGAGGTGACAGTCTTTCCTAATGATATCTCTGAACATGGTAAAATATCCCAATCTATCTTTTAAAAATTTTTTTTAATGTTTTTATTTATTTCTGAGAGAGAGAGAGAGACAGCATGAGCAGGGGAGGGTCAGAGAGAGAGGGAGATACAGAATCTTAAGCAGGCTCCAGGCTCTGAGCTAGCTGTCAGCACAGAGCCCGACATGGGGCTTGAACCCATGAACTGTGAGATCATGACCTAAGCCAAAGTTGGACACCTAACTGACTGAGCCACCCAGCCGCCTCCAATCTATCTTTAAGAAACCAACATAGCTTAGCCAATCTTTTTACAGAGAGAGAGAAAGACAGAGAGTGAGAGAGAGCACTGTATGCACACACACGTACATACATATATACATACATATCTATATAAATGCACTCACGTGTATATAGACATGCCCATGTGTGTATGTGTGTGTATTTTCTGTATGACCCTTTTAGAATACTGCGTTCCACAATTTTACCCTAAAGACTTCTGTGTAGAGTAGAACTTAATGATTGAGTCTCTATCCTTTTCCAAAGAGAGTGATTATAATGCTCTGATACAGGAACGGTATTTGATTTCCTTTGTGATTCTTATTCCTGGGCCCATCGGTTGACAAGACAGATGAACAGGTGTCTGGGCACCCCACTGAGGAGGACCGGAAATGTTTAACTACCTCTCCACAGGCAGCAAGGCCAAGCATGCCTTTAAGGGTCTGGTGATTTTTTTGCGCATCTCAGGCAGCCCCCATCACTTTGAACACTTCTGGTGACTGTGCACTTAACCTTTTCTTTCCTGCTACTTTGGAAGCTCCACATCTGAGTTACATCTGTTTCTCCTGTGAAATGATCATTTGGGAGACAAAACTGAAATAAAATTAGAAATGACTCGTGCTGCTTTGCCATTACCTCAGTCAAATTGAACAAGTATTAATATCTTGCTAACTGGATAATGGATTCCGCGCGGAAACCCAAGTCAAGTTTAAGCATCATTCTCATCCTCCAGGACTAATGCTGCCTCAGACTTAGAGGAAAAGCCCTGCCTGGATCCTGCGCCTAGACCAGTGCAGGCTTAGATGTCAGGGGCACACAGAAGTCCCAGGGAATCTGGTTAAAGTGCTGATTCTGATTCAGGAGCTCTGGGGTGAGGACTGAGATCCTGCATTTCTAAGAAGCTCCAGAACAATATTGACGTTAACTGGGCCAGGCTACGTTTTGAGTAGCAAAGTTTAAAGACCCTGCTCCGACCTTTTGGCTGTACTGCTCCCCATGACATAAAGAATCTTGGGGAGTCAAAAGGTAGTGCCCATGTGGAGACCATGCCCTCACCTTCTAGACCATACTGTGGGTGCCGGGAGCCTGAGATTGCCTCTTGAGTGACTCCAAGCCTTCACTCAGGACCTGCAAGAGGTTCTTTTCTAGATCATCCTCCCAAAGGTAGACTGTACCTCTCAGATGCACACTGGTAGGCCTGAGCCATAGCTGAGGTGTTTATGGGAGGTGCAGAGGGCACTTGGCGTGAAGCCTGAGGTACCCACATCATGCACACAAGGTCCAGCAATCTGTTTACCAATCCCTATAAGTGGTTCTTCCATACATTCAGGTTGAGAACAACGGCTCTAGTTGCAGCAAGACCGGAAGTACATACAGGGTGTTTGGAAATCCTGCAAAACTATAGACATCAGTAACCCCAAGACTTTGCTGCAACATTCCTTTGCTTCTGGGAGCATTGCCAAGAAGCTTCCTCTCTCTTCTCCTCTTGGCTCTACCACTAGCTTTTCACTGTCGACAAGCTAGTTCCCTCCTCTGAGCTTCCAAGTGTTTGCCTACAAAACAAAAGCTGGACTATAAATTATTAAAGGATTTCCAGATCTAATGTCAGGATTCAGAATCTTCCAGATCTAAAAGGCGATGGGTCTGGAAATAGTTCCTTTAAAATCTGTGAGCCATCTTCTGTGTTTATTCACATTAAAAACCTTACTAATTGATTTTGTAAAGCTTTCTCTTTTAAAATGTCTATGTGCCCGAGAGAGACGGACGAGAAAGAGCTTCAGGGGATAATTATTCTCTAGCAGCGTATCTTACACTTGAATGGGCATACCAAGGATCCAGGGGTCTCGTTAAAAATGCAGACTGTGGGGCACCTGGGTGTCTCAGTTGGTTGGGTGGCCGACTTCGGCTCATGTCATGATCTCATGGTTCATGGGCTGGAGCCCCACGTCGGGCTCTGTGCTGACAGCTCAGAGCCTGGAGCCTGCTTCGAATTCTACATCTCCCTCTCTTCGCCCCTCCCGCACTCATGTTCTGTCTCTGTCTCCTTCAAAAATAAATAAACATTTTTGAAAAATGCATATTGTAATTGAATAAGTCTGGAATAGAGCCTGAGACTGGGTGTTTGCAGCAAGCCCTCAGGTGATGTCCACACTGCATTGTTCGACGCACACTTCAGTAGCAAGTTTCTGCAGTGTCAATACATTTAATCAGATTGCTTCCCTCTGAAGACCTGGGATCCATCTGAAAAAGAAATGGCATAGTATAAGTCAGGGAAAGAGGAAGAATCATTTATGGCACTACACAAAAGCATGGCATTTGGCAGGTAATGCAATCAGTGAACTATAACTAGTTATAATCAACTAACAAACTAGAGAGAATGTGCCCCAATGGCACTGTTTTCCAACTTTTTAAAAGGGTCCAAGAAGTGAGTTCTATGAAATCTTTTTCTTTCCAAATGTTGTGAATTTATTTTTATTAAATTAGCTGACCAACTAAAATCCATCTGTTTGGCTAACACCATGTAAGCCAAACAAGAATGAAGACCAAATGGCCTGTGAGAAGACAAATTCAAGAAGGGAAAGAAGTTGGGGTGCCTGGGTGGCTCAGTCAGTTAAGCGTCTGACTTCGGCTCAGGTCATGATCTCACGGTTTGTGGATTTGAGTGTCGCATCAGGCTCTGTGCTGACAGCTCAGAGCCTGGAGCCTGCTTCGGATTTGGTGTCTCCTTCTTTCTCTGCCCCTCCCCACTCATGCTCTGTTTCTCTGTCTCAAAAACAAACATTTAAAAAAAAGAAGGAAGGAAGGAAGATAAGGAAGGAAGGAAGGAAGGAAGGAAGAAAATAAGTCTTTTGTGGGCTGTGGGATGGGGGAGAGAGTAGAGAGAGGACACCAGACCGTCAAAAGCCTGCCTGGTGCCAAGCAGTGTAGAAGAAAGGCCCACAAAGGTGAATGGGTAAAAACAAACAATGAAGTGGGAAAACTCAGAACAATATGACTACTTTCAAAGATGTACCTACTTATTTCATCTTTTCCTTTTAGCGTGGCTGCAGAGTTCTTCCCCCTGAAAATTGGGGTAGGAAGAATTAAGAGGAAAGGGGTTCATGGCTCAATCTGAATCTTCAGTGATGTATTTTAATTCTAAGGTGGGGAGGGGCCCCAAACCCCTCCATTCCCCTAGAAGCAATGCTGTCCAGTGGCCCTTGGAGGATGTTTACTGCATTCAACCGTTGAGCTCACTGTTTCACTGGGGGAAGCTCCATGGCCACAGGTTAGCTAAGTCCCCGTGGGGAGCCTTTTGGATGGGAAGATTCCAGAGGACATCCCCAAAGGAGACATGGACAGAATAAGTGGGGGAGACATCATCTGGTTCAAATTCTCATTTTGTCACATCTCACATCCCATTGAAGGCACAGACGAAAACCAAATCTTTCAAAGTAAAGTTTCAACGCCCTTTTCAACTTTGCCTCTGGGTTATTGAGGAGACTAAATGTGAACACATGTGAAAAGCGCTTTGTAAACCATAAGGCATCACAAATATGTCAGTGACTGTCGGCAGGGAGGAGAAAGGCAGTTAAGCCCGAGTTACCATCTCAGCCCTTATTAGCTTTGTAAATAGTAAAGTGACTTCTCTGAACTTGTCTTTCCACCTGTTAAATGGGAGTAGGTAATGCCTGCCTTGTAGAAGTTAGATTAGTACCTGTAAAGTGCCCAGTGTTTTGTCTGACGCATAATACCTCCTGCACAATTAATAGTAGCTAATATAATTATTATTCCTAATATATTCAAATCTCTTAACATTTTTATTTATACATTAAGATACTTTCAAATTTGTTTAAGTATTTTTATGTTAAAAGTCAGAAAATACCTATAAGTAAAAAGAAAAAAATCAGCGATAATTCCTTTATCTGGGTTAATCACTGATACCAAATCTAGAAACTCTTACAGACTTTTATATGAATATTCTACTTGTAAAAATATAATTATAGTGTTTTGTAATGTTTAAATTGACTCAAAAATATATTATGAGGAAATTGCCATCAGTAATTACATTTTTACATCATTTAAAAGGACTGCAGAGTGCTCTACTTTTGGGAAGGTGGAGTAGATTAACTCTTCCCTGTTCCATCCTTAAGTACAATTAAAACTCTGAGCATTATATATAAAATATATATAAGAAGGTTCTGAGAGATGGAGAGAAAAAGACCAACTAGATAGAGACCATCAAGACCCAAAGGAGAATTCAGCGATGAACTTCCTGGGATTTTGTTTTGCCTCGTATGTCTGAGAATCGAAGCTGGAGAAACTAATAACCTGAAAACACCAATGGAGACTGTCAACAAAAACCATAGCAACAACAATCAAAGACTACTCTTTCACCAAAAGACCAGGAAAGGGGAAGTTTAGGAAGATAGAAAACTTTCAGACAGTAAACATTCTATTTCAGCTAAACGTTACAGAAAAAAAAAAAATTGTGGCCCCCCCCCACCTGCACTCATTCCTGGAAAGACCAAGTGGGGAGCCTAGATTCACACTTTCACAGGGCTGTAATGAAGCACCACAACACACAAAAACTCCACACACTTCTGTGGAGTGGTGTCGGAGAAGGCTAAGCACGAAGCCAGGGCTCTCATGTCTACCAGCTGGTAATAAGTTCCTCCCAAACCCAATACCACAGTGTTGGTGGAGACCACATGGGAAGCCTGGACTTCCACTCCCACTTGATGGTAATGAGAGACTTCTCCCCCTCCCCACTAGTATGAGATCAGAGGAGGCTGAGATAGTCAGAACTTTGCCTGTCACCCAACAGTAATGAAGCTTCCTCCACCACAATGTTAGTGGAGACCATCAGGGGGACCAGAACGCTCAGCCTGCCCAGGAGTAAGGAAGAGTCCTCTCTCCCTATTGGTATTAAACAGAGACCTGGTGGGGAACCTGAACTTCTACCATCACTGGAAATAATGAGACAGCGTCCCTCCTCTTCTTCCTGGAGTGATGGCAGAAAAAGCTAAACAAAACAGAAGATCTAAATAAGATCTAAGAGGTTTAAGAGTAATACAAAAATGTCCAATTTTCAACAGAAAGTCACTTGTCGCACCAAGAACAAGGAAGATCTCAAAATGAATGAAAAGAACATCAATAGATGCAAGCACAAAAATGGCAGAGACATTGGAACTGTCTGACAAAGATTTCAAAGCCATCATGATAGAAATGCGTCAATGAGCAATTATGAACATGTTGGATACCAATAAAAAAAAATAGAAAACCTCAGAAGGGAGATGGAAAGTGTCAACAAAAAAATAAAAAATAAAAAATGAATAAAAACCAAAAGAACATTTTTGAAATAAAAATACAGTAACCAAAATAGAAAGCTCAGTGAATGAGTTCAACAGCAGAATGGAGAAGACAGAGGAAAGAATCAGTAAGCTTAAAGAAAGAATAGAGATGAGCAAAGCTGAAGAGCAGAAAGAAAATAGACTTAAAAAATAGACTCAGAGACCTCAAGAGTATAACAAAAGGTCTAACATTTGTGTGATTGAAGTCTTGGAAGGAGAGAAGGAAAAGGGTGCAGCTGAAAAAGTACTTGAAGAAACAGTGGCTCAAACACTCCAAATCTGGCAAGAAACCCAAACCAACAGATGCAAGAATCTTAGTGAATCCCAAACAAAATAAATACAAAATAATCTATGGCAAGACAAATGATAATAAACTTTTAAAAACTAAAAACCAAGAAAAAGTATGGAAAGCACCCAGGGAAAAAATGACACCTTTCCTATAAGGGAAAAATAATTACTGTAGCTGCTGATTTCTTACCAGAAACCATATAGGTCAGAAGAGAGTGCCACAATGTTTTTCAGGTGTGAAGGAAAAGAATGGTGAATGCAGCGAAAATATCTTTCAGGAATGAAGGGAAAGTCAAGACATTGGAAGATGAACAAAGGCTAAGTGAACTTGTTGCCATCTGACTTACCCTAAAGAATGGCTAAAGGATGTGTTCCACACAGAAATGGAAAGATACAGGAAGGAATGTTGGAGTGTCAGTAAAACAGAAAGAATACAGTAAACAAAAATATAGGTAAATTCAATAGACTTTCATCTCGAGTTTTTTTAAGGTGGTTGTATTTTCCTTATTTTTTATTTTTATTTTTTTCTTTCACAGTTTATTGTCACGTTGGATTCCCTATAACACCCAGTGCTGTTTTTTAAATCATGTTTGATGGTTGAAACAAAAACACATCTGGCATGGTTCTAAACATATGTAGAAGAAATATTTAAGGCAATTATATTATAAATGGGGGAGGGTGAAGAGATTAAATGGAGATGAGATTTCTATACATCAATTAAATTGGTAAAATGTCATCACTAGTAGACTGTGATGTTATATATATAGTGTGATGCCTAGAGAAACCAGTCAAAACCTGTACAAAGAATGCATTTAAAAACCTACAGGCAAGTCAAAGTGGAATTTTAGAAAATGTTCCTGTAAACCACAAAAAAAGGCATAAAAAAGAAAACAGAGAAATTAAAAATAGTACAAACAGAAAACAAAGAAACAAAAAATGAAATGGTAGATTTAAGCACTAGCATATCGATATATAAATTTAATGTAAATAGTCTGAAAACACCAATTAAAAAGCAGCAATTGATAGAGTGGACTGAAAAGTATGGCCCACCTATCGGCTGTCTAAAAATAAACAAACAAACTAATAAACCCCATTTCATACATAGTGATGTAGGCAGGTTGAAAGTAAAAAGAGTGAAGAAGATATATAATGCAAACATTAATCAAAGGAAAGCAGAAATGGTTATATAAATATTAGACAAAATAGATAAAATGGACTTCAGAATGAAAAAAATTGCTAGATAATGATACGAGGGTGAATTCAAAAAGAAGATACAACAATTCTAAATATGTATACAACAAATAACAGAGCTGATGAATATGTGAAGCCAAAACTGATGGAAACGAAAGGAGAAATAGACAAATACACAATTATAGGTGGAGACTTCAACAACCTTATTTCAAAGACTGATAGGACAAGTAGATACCGAATTGGCAAGGATATAGAAGACTCCACAGCATCATCAACCAACAAGATCAAATCAGCATTTATCATGCACTCCATTCAACAATAGCAAAATATACATTCGTTTCAACTGCCCATTCTTTTCAACCAAAATCGATCATACTTTGGGCCATAAAATAAACCTCCACAAACTTAAAAGTTAATATCTTACAATGT